ATATATATATATATATATATATATATATATATATATATATATATAATGTGGAGCCATACTTCCTCATTAGTTCCACCTAAATACAAGCTGACCTGTCTCCCAGCAGAACTGACTCTTTCTGAAAACCACACAAATAAAACCTAAAACACAATTAACGTTGTGAGAAAGAGAAGCGGCACATCCTGGTTCCACTATCACACATGTGAACTCTCTGGAGCTTTAGATTCACTGTGCTTTAATTAAGTAGCATACACAGCCCCTCCAGGTCACTTTATGTCCTCAGAGATGGACCCGTTGAGGCCAGTGAGACTCTTTGTACTCCAGTTTTTTCACTGTCTTTGTCTCTTCTTCTCGTAGGTCTCACGGGTGAGGCGGCGGTGGCAGCATCCTGTGTTTTATTACTGGCCAATGACAAAGTAGCTGCCACGGCCCTCATGCATTATTCAGGGCGTAAGAGAAGCAATGCCTCCCTCGGTTATGGAAATCAAACTTCAGGGGCACGAGGGGAGGATCATTGTTGACGTGGGGGGGAGTTCTGACGCCCATTTTTCTCCTCACCCCCACCTTGCAATGAAAAGCTTTAGGGGGAGTCAGTATCCATCAGAGTGAAAAGTGTAATTTGTCTTTCTGTTAGCAAAATACCACTGGACAGAAGCAGGTAAAGAGGGTGGATGGAAGGATGGATGGATGGATGGAAGCCCCCAATAATTTACCATATATATATATATATGGTAAATTATTGGGGTATATGTATAGTGGTCCCTCTCTACTTCGCGATTCATTTATTACGGACTCGCTCTATCGCGGTTTTTCAAAATAAGACTGGACAAGATACACAATTGGCTGATTGATGGATGAGCTGCAGAATCAGCATGGAATTTGTATTTAAAATAAATTATTTAAAATTATTAAGCACCTCCTGCACCTTTGTGCAGCCCACACTGCAGGGTAAGCTTCCTGTTGCAGCGATCAGCTGTTCAGTGTGCAGAGTGGAGAAGTGGGCGTGGCCAAGAACACTTGTTCTAGGTGGCAAAGAGCAGGGAGCTGAAATCATGACATCCTGTGCTCTTTTAGAGCGTTTATAGTTTAGAAACATTTTTAAGAATATTGCAAGAATGTGGGAAGGGTTTCAAATGCCCTTGTATGTATGTATGTATATATATATACATATATATATATATATATATACATGTCATTTACCCAGATTGCATTGCAACAACACTAAAATGACAATGTCCATGTGTAATAATTTTTTTTTTTATTATGAAAACTTTACAACTTACAGTCATAATAATATGGTTTCAGTTTTATAGCCGAAGTAATTATTTATAAAACAAGATTTATTGTTCCAACTAGTCGAGATCCCTTTAATGAAACTCTCTGAACGCAATGACAACTAGATTACATTGGAGTTGGCTCAATTCAAGATGGTGGAACACAACAATGTGACCTTAACTAAAGACAAAAATGTCTGGCATGGTAGTAGCTGAGGGTCATTCCCAACGCACAGCTGGAGCACTAACAGATTAATTAAGATTAAGGATCCGATGGGCGTAACATCAGGTTCAAGATTTTATCAAAAAGGTTCAAACTCCGATCATTTTTCAAGAGAAGATGGTCTTACTGGCATGAGCCTGGGGATGCTGGGCCTTCAATTTAGTCATTTTCTAACTATTATTATCGTGACTGGTATTATAATATGTGGTAGAGGACCAAGCAAAGAAACTAACACCTAATTATGGTAATTTTCACATTTTCAATGAGAAAACAAGGATATAAAACATTTGCGGTATAAGGATATGATTTAATTTAGCCTCTTTGTGTTTTGTCTTTTACCACTCATCCCTGCATGAAACAATGTCTTCCTATAAATAACCCAGTCTGGGCCAAGCTAGGCCAATCACTAAGCCTAAAAATAATCCATAACCCCTCTATGGACCCTACTTATGTCTTCTTATTGGCCCTGACACTGACCCTGTTGTACCTTTTACATTACCTCCAAATTGACTAATAGGCTCCTCTTATTGCATCCAATCTAGTTTTGACTGAAATCTTTGAGCCAACATCCTTCGATAGTTGATTCCCGATGCCTCTGATGACATTAAAACCTCTACCGTATCCTAAATTGCCCACTTACCGGGTGATAGCAGATACCCAATTTGATTTTGAACCAACAGTAACTGCAAATCATTAACCGTTTGCCATTTTCTTGTAAACAAACACGATCCTGCTCTTGAGTGGTACGTGTCACAGCCCGCCCCGTAGTCACACTCTAAAAACTTGATTTGGATCAAATGTGAACGTTACAGTGTCTGTTATAAACCGTTACGTTCTAGTCTGTGTAGTTGGGAGGGCTCTAGTCCCTCGGCAGACTCAGTAGGTGAGTGTCTGCCTCACAGTTTGCTGTCACTAAGCCAAACACCCAGATTCACTGTTATGAAGGGGAAATATTAATCTGGTCCTGGATCAGTCCGTCCTGTTATTGAAGCAGATGGCAGCTGGCAAACATGGCCTTCCATCTATCTGTCTAGAATAGTCATAAGTCATTAAAACAGTAACTGTTTCTTTCTTTATTTTATCAACCAAACACGTGATTACATGATTAATTATAAAAAAATAGTGCAGCACCTTAACATGTATTAATTTCTAACTCTTAGTCCACAAACGAGGTTTAAATGTAACTCGACCTAAAGGTGGGTGGTATATTAAGTATATTATGAGTTGTATCTCTTTCGGTATGTAAAATGACTGAGTAACCCAAACGCGCACCTCACCCTTGCTTAAACGAGACCAGCCGAGCAGCCAAACGTCAAAATGAAGAAGGAAAAACTGCGGCATTAGAATGGTCCGTTCTTATCCGAGTGACAGGAGTTTTTGTGTTAACGTTGGTAATAGTTCATCTGCTTCAGTGCCTCTTTCCTGAGGGGTCCCGCAGGGCTCGATTCTTGGACCCCTTCCATTTTCATTGTATCTGCTCCTCTTGGGGTCTGTCCTGAGGAAACGTGGTCTTTCGTTTCATTGCTATGCTGATGATTGTCAGATTTATCTGTCCTTAAAACCAAATAGTTGATGCGCAATTCACCCTCTGTTAAAATGTCTTGATGACATCAAGGCATGGCATCTTTCTTCTTTTTTTTTAAAGTTTCAACGATCAGAAATCTGAAGTCTTTGTGTTTAGCTCTAGCTCTGCTGCCGTCTCTGTTCCTGTTAACCTTGACTCCCTTCAGTCACATCTTAAGCAGTCTGTTACAAATCTCAGGATGGTTTAAGTCTCTGACTTTAAGTTCCATAAACAGATTAACTCTGTTCTACAAAAAAAGCTTATTCCAGTTAAGGCAGATACATAAGCTTAAGTCTATATTAGCCAGTTCTGATCTTGGAAAAAAAAATAGTCCATGCATTAATTACAGCCCGGCTAGATTACTGTAACGCACTTTATGTTGGGGTCAGTGAGGTCTCCCTTTCACGTCTCCTGCTCGTCCAAAATGCTGCAGCTCGGCTAGTAACAGGACAAACTCGTAGGTTTGAGCAAATTTCACCAGTTTTGTCCTCCCTTCACTGGCTCCCTGTACGTACTATAATTTATTTTAAAATTCTCCTGTTGACCTTCAAGTACATAAATGGCCTTGTACCCTCATACCTCTTTGACCTACTTCAACCATATGTTCCTTCTCGGGCGCTGAGATCATCAGACCTTCTGCTTTTGGTTGTACTAAAAACCAGGTTGAAACTCAGAGGAGATCTGGTTTTTTCATGGACCCGAAACTTTGGAACAATCTGCCCCTCAGCATTAGGCTTCACTCCCTGGTTTTAAATCTCTCCTAAAAACACACACTGACGTTTAACACAGTGTGATCTGATTTAGTATTTCATTGTTAGTGTGTTTTTATGTTCTACTTTTGATGCTTTTAATTCCATCTTATTTTTTCTGAAATTACTGCCTTTGATCTTATTGTTAAGCACTTTGATTGACTTGCCTTTCAATTGCATCACAAATTCAACTTGTAAGTCAATAACTACTGCAAAATTACGAAAAATGACGTGGAAAAACTTTTTTTTAATCATAAGTTGGCTCCAACATATGCCAGCCAAACTCCATGCAATATTTTCTATTTTATGCTCTTTTGCAAATTGATACAAAAGTCCACAAGTAAAATCAAAAACTTTAGACTCTTTACAAAGATAAAAGCTGAAGCTTTTCTTCGGCATGTAATGTTCACACGAAAACAAAGTGAAAAATGTGAAGAAAACTCAACCAATTCACTTTGGTGACCAACATGTTCGCATAATTTTCCACCAGCTAACTGAACGCAGACAGGGTAAAAAACAAAAAACAAAGTTAAAGTATCGTTAAAAACGATTGATAATTTGTGAAATTTTTAAACCGAATTTTCTACACATTGGTTTTCAGTTCGAGGAAGTTGATTTGGGTTGTTGTTGCAGTGAAACAAATGTGGAGAACCGATAAATGTAATATAGCGACATGTTTCTATGAAGTCTGGTGGCGGCGCTGTCATCGAAGCTTCTACGTAATTTAGCGGACATGGAGGCGTCTTACCTGCGACATTTGCGGTCGGAGGTTGATCTCCTTCAGGTTGATGCACTGGGGCTTCAGGTTGTTGAGCAGGTGGCACAGGAGGACTCCATCCCGGAGGGTCTGAGCGAAGTCGAACACCTGCGCGGACTCCCAGGTCACCCGGTGGCTAACCGGCAGCACCTTACAGTGGATCAGCCACAGCGCGCACTGCCTCCAGTACTCCATCATCCTCTCGTCTGCCCTCAGCCCGATCAGTAGGAAATAAATAGTGGGGAGGCTCGGCGATGCGTCTGCGGGGAGCGGTTCAAATCGTACCCATGCTGTGGAGCTGAAGACCCCGAAGAAAAGGAGGCGAAGCGCGGCGAGGGGCCGCTGCGCGGAGGACAGTCCGGAGAGGAGAGGCTGTGGCGCGGCTGTGGATGGAGCGCGTCCCGCTGCTCGCGCGCTCTCTCTCTCCGCCTCTCGCTCTCTCTCTGACTCTCACAAACACCCCCCCCCC